GCTTAAGTGAAAAAACTGATGACGGTTGTAAAAGTATGTGTCTCTTGAGCTTGTGCAAGTAATTATCACAACTATACTAATTACATGAAGAGATCATCACATAAAACTAAAACCACCATATTGTGCACATGGACTAATATAGCCAGAGACATGATGCTGTATTTATGAACTTAATGCAGTAATGCTCAGTGAGAGAAAGCTCTACTATTGTGGTGTGGGACATTAGACAGGTCTCTACCTCATCATCTGTTCTGTCATAAAGTCATGATGGGACAACGTCCGAGCTCAGGGGGGATGATGGTGGCAGTGGCGAGGGAGTGAGAGGAGTAAAAGTGAGGCAGAGCAGCGCTGACGTCACTAGCCTGTGGTTATCAGTGGAGGTTAATCTACTGGGGGATGGATGGGCTTATGCAATTGTCTGTAAACCCACAGGCCTCATGTCTATGGATTTGCTTTTCCACTGTTTGACCTAGTGTGCAGCTGGAGCCTACAGACAAACACTGAAATGATGTAGTGGGAATTTCTCCTCTCTGTGGAATCTCTCTGTGCCAAATGCAATGTGCGTCAAACAGGAAAGATGGGTTTGAACACAGGGTTTATTGTTTGGGTCTGGTGAGGAGTTCATCCTGCTGCAGAACAGGAGGAAATTACTGTCTGACCGAGACATTGTGGAAATTGGTGAAGAGGGAGAGAATCTGCTAAATTGACCCTGGTGCATATTTAGAGTTAAATAGTACATGTGATTGAAATGTATTGATTGACTTGAAAACAAAGCCATGCATTGGGTGGTTTGGTGCCCTTTGTATGTTTTGTATTGGTTTTAAAGATGATGTGAAACTGTTTTTGTGCTGCACCTAGAGGAACACATTTTAGGAGGTTAAAGGGGGGATATCAGCACATCAAGCTGTATGTTACTGAGTGTGTGTGTGTGTGTGTGTGTGTGTGTGTGCGCGTGTGAGAGAGAGAGAGAGAGACTATGTGTGTTTCCATTAGGAAAGAGAAATCGTCACGGCCCAAGTCATTGTAATTGTGCCCATTAAGGATGGTCCTTTGACTAAAATGGAAAAATAATCTGCTTTAATTAAGGTGAAGTATTGATGTGGCCACTGGCTCTTTAGGACTGTGATGGAGAGTAGCTATCACCCTGGCAACCAGTTCTTCTTGTTGTGTGATAATGTAATTTAAGTGCAAATCAATTTGAAAAGATTGTATCCCAACAATAATGACTCAAAATAATGTAGACTTGATGCATTACACAAGTCAAGTAAATTGTCCTAAGTAAGAGTGTCCCGTAAAATGTTCACACTATACAGAAACAAAGAGAAAAGAGTGGATGAATTGAAATTGGAACAGAACAGCTGCATTTGCCTGTGATGCAGAAATGAGATCACTTTCAATGATCACTAGCTGTAGTATTGGTAAAGTCAGGGACGAAAAGGTTCCTGGACTTGCAACATTCTCTCTTTTCACGACGCAGACTGACGTCCTGTTGAGTCTGACAGCGATAAATAGATTCCAGAGCACAAAGCCTACTTTCCCACCCAGGGGAATGGAAACCAGGATGTTCCATCTACCCTGAGGAGGCTGCTTCTATGGGCTTGTGGCCTTTGACCCCCTTTGCCATGAGACTTGCAGATGTGTCTTTACAAAGAGAGAAAAAAGTTGGAGAGGGAAACAAAGGGGACTTATACTGGGAGTGATGCAGCTGGACAGCTGGACAAGCCTTGATAGAGAGAAAGATATTTTATTACCACTTGGACTTTTATAAAAAGCTGTGAGAGAGGAACTTTGTTTCACAGAAGAGACTGAAGTGTGATTTGGCATTAGGGCTTTTACCTAAGTAGAACAACTGCAGCTTCTAAGGTTTTGAGAAAACATTCTTAGAAGATCATTCAGCGGTTTTCCAAGAACAGTTCCTACCATCACTGATGATGTCATGGTCTCGCCCAAGACTCTCAGGCCCACATTTGGCTCAGGATGGAAGGTTTCATAAAATGTCATCCAGAGAAGGCCTGAAATTGTTGCATAATTCCAAAAAAATTCCTTCAACAATTGAAAAGACTGCAGTCCCCAATGTGTGATAAACACACACACACACARACACACACACACACACACACACACACACACACACACACACACACACACACATCTTGAAAATGTGTTCTGGATGACTCACAGCTTCTCTTTCAGGCAGGCAGTTGCTCAACACAAAGTGGGCTTTCTGTGTGTCCTTGCTCTGTGAATCCCATATCCTCTGAAAACAAAAGTTTCATCATGGTCTGCCTCAACCCTCCAGCCCCCATGAGTGTCATCCCAGCAGCGATCCTCCATGTCATTCATTATTTAGTTATATATTTAGATGTCATATTTTGTGTTGTTCTAAATTCCCACAAGACCCTTTAATCAAAGCACTTACTCTTATTAACTTGAAAACGATCTCTCCCCTGAAGGGGGATTCCTCAGTGGGCAAAACTATCTAATCTACAGCATTTCATAGAATTTTAATTAACACAACACAAGATTCAGTGTCCTTCACTGTCATTAGTGAGGAATAAATTAAAGTTGTTAAATCTCTCTAAATGAAAAATGCTCAGGACAGATATGGGATGTGCTGAATGATGTATAAACCTCATTTTTTCCCTCTTGAATTCCAGGCTTTCAATTAGCAGTAGGCAACCAGAGAGTGCTGTAAGTGATTTAAATAATAATGACTGTAGCCAGAAAAGCTGTTTATTGATGTGTGTATGTGTATGAAGATTTAAATTGGAAGAAACACAGTTTGTCTTGGATGCTTCATTCTAAATGTTATTTAGACACAGCCGGAGGTATCGATTCGGGCTTTCCTCCATGCAGGTGCCTCCAAACTAACAATGACATGGAGACTGACACTGTGAATTAATTACATACTCTGTCTTCATAACACACATGAACATATACAGAGAACATACTGCTCAATGGGCTCACTTGTATTTGCTCTATTGTTACCTCCAGAAGTTTTATATGAATATATCACCACTTGAATATATTTTCTTATTGAACTTAACTGTCACATGCAAAGGTATAAAGTAATGATCGCAATAATACTGTCAAATTACAGTATTATGTTTGCTGACTTGTCACAGTGACTGAAGGATCCAGTAACTATGATATCAGATCACAATTACTAAGGCCAAGAATAAACTTTTAGACTAAACAATGTGTTGATGATGATGATGTAACAATAAACAGGCAAATCGGACACTGACACAAACCTAAATTAGAATGGCACCTCAACATGTTAGAGAAGTATTCTCTCAGAAATCAATGAAAATGTTGAAATACCTTCTGGGTAATAAGACCATCCCTAACTCGAGAGAAAATGACAAAATCAAGATGGCTGACAAGAGTGGGCTCCATTTGGTTGACATTTTATTTCATGGTGGTATGAACACAAGACAAAGGTCATAAAGTTAGTAATGTTCAGGTCATGCCACTCTTACTCGGTGCACTGCCCTTTGAGAAGGTTTGCGCAGTCAGACAGTAGTTTACAGAGGCCGGACATGGAGGCTAATCCACATGAAGACATAAATAAGAAAAAGAAAATAGATTCAGAAAACAGTAAATAGAGGATATTTTTTTGTAAAAAGCTAGAGGAGACATTTGCAGAAGCCCCCTGGGATTTTCTTGTGTATGAGCAGTATTACTAATATAATTATTATTATTATGCTTTACTCATTTACATTATGGGGATGAGGCTAATACACTGGCTAAAGTAAGGAAACAGTTATATGGATGACGTCTTTGTCACCTGCTCAGAGTCGAGGTGACCGGTTTTTAAGGCAATTCATAGTTTCCACCCGGACCATAGACTGTTGTTGTCTTTTCTGATCTCCAGTCCATTCAAAAATGCAAGAATCTCTCCTCCACCTGAATGGGTCAAATTGAAACAGTTGTGGTAAAAATGAGACCGGTCTACGGTTGACAGGTTGAAATGTGTCTGAACCAGAGGAGATTTTCCTGGGTCTGGCACGGACACTTGATTACACACAACACAGTTATAGCTCTAGGGCTGTCCCTCCCCCATGTACATTAAGTATATCATCGTGTAGGTGAGCAGACAAGTCAGACATGGTTCCAGTGTATATTACTAAAAACATAAACCTCCACGGAGCACACATTTGCTAAATTTACACTTAAAAATCGCAGGGCTGTACAAAAACAGGTTGCTTGATGATTGAAGGAGGGAAACATAATTGAGAAAGTAAGGAAGGACAAAAAAACAGTACAAGACCATTTGATACTCAACCACAAACAGGCATGATTATGTCTTAGAATATTGCCAAGATTCTCATATCAAAACGAGAGTGTCTTTAAGTCAGTCAACGCAGCTTATTGTGGTCCAGCAGAGACGACTCCACGTTGCATCAGTTCACTGAAAGTTACAGAATTCGCACTAGTAATACAAACTCATGCGTCGCTATGTTAATTTGCAAGTACTGTAGGATTATGTATCTTATTCCCATTTTTCCGTGGCTGTTATGGCTTTAAAAGGTCACAACAACGTCACAGTCTCTTTCGCTCGCTTTCTCACTGTCAAAAGACTCCTCCAGGAATGTTCCTAGGTCAAATACGAAAAAAGGAAATCAAGTCTCAGAGTTTGTTTTTTTTGAAGCATTTGTGTTGACTGTTGTTGGACAGGACACTCCCAGGAGTAGTAGTAGCTCTCCCCATGATAAGATCTCTCCTTGCTTCCTCTCTGTCTGTCCTTTTCTTCAGTCTCTGCTCTCAGCACCTCCTTAAGGTCAGATACGGTAACAACTCTTCCCCTTATGCACCGTTCAAGGTCCTGCTAAACTAACAGATCCCAAGAAAAAAAAAAAACTTTACCAAAAACAAAACAAAAACACACAGGGAATGAACAAGCATAAAACATTATTCAGCTCTGTAGTTTCTGAAATTACATCAGTGGAAATAAGAGAATAAAAGGAACCTGTTTAAGGTAAAAAAACAAAACAAAACACAAAACAGTGACATTTTTCAAATTATACTGTTTTTTGGAACAAAATGGATAAAAAAACTACTAACAAAATCCAGATTCAAACCAAACACTGCAGAAGTGCATGCATTTATAGTGGTCATCATTAATTCATCTGCTGATTGTAAAACAGAACGCACAATAGTACATGAAAAGCACAATTCTCCAAAGAGAACCCATCGTACATATTCACAGTCTCAGGTATTATTTATATACTCTATATTTATAACATTTATTCATGTTTATGATTAATGTCTTGACTTATGACTAATGATATGCGAGTCATCGTGGAACGCAGCGCTCTTCTCTGCCATGTCAGCTTGCAGTGTTAGTGAGTCATATTTCAAAACTAAAGCCTCTGATGGGATTCAGATCGAGTGGAGAGTTTTTTTCTTTTCTTCTCTTTCTTTAAATATTTTTCGGGCGCTGTGAGATGGGGGCTGATCGAGTGGTTATGACTGTGTACTTTGTCACTGCAGCAGCTTGACTGATATCTGAAAAGTCCCATTAGTTAAATACAGTGGACTACTGGGGGCTGAAAACAGAGTCGTGATGGTAGACGTGAGCCGGCTGCAACTTTAATAGAACTGCGCCTGCCGAGCTACAGTTGTTTGCCGCGTCCAGCCCTCCCGGGGGGGGAATGTGTGTCTATGTGGTCATGGATGTGTACGCCATGCTTGGGGGAATGTGGACGATACATATGGCACCAAGACAAGGCAGCACCCAGAGATCATCAGCAAGGTCCACCAGTGTTCAAGTAATGAGCGAGGAGACAGAGCAGGACTTTTGCTTTTTCAATGTTGGCATTTGTTTTAAAACAACAAAACTGACAAGAATAAAATCTCTTTTTCACAGAGATGCCTGTTTTTTTTTTTTTTTTGAAAAAAAAAGGAGAAGAGCCAGGGTAGCAAAGAAAAAAAAACAGTGTGTTCTGTGAACAGAGGTGCGGAACAAAACATTTAAAACAAAAATTAAAACACCATATTAATTTCTCTCCTTATAAAAAGCAATGAAAAGTATACAAAAATAGAAAATAATTACAGCAGGAGACATGAGCGCTATGGAGGGAGCGGGTGTCGGGAGGGGTTTTCTTTCCCCTTTTCTCTCGGTATATATTTGTCCCTGCTGGGTTATTTGGCGGCAGAACAGTGTAATATTTTGGGGCTGTTTAAGGCGTCCTCCACCAGGTGGAGCTCCACGCCGTCCACAACCACGTCTTTGATGCAGCCAACAAAGCCGGTGCTGTAGGCCTTGGGCAACCGACGGGCCACTGCCAGCTCCTCCAGACCACCTGACGGGAGACATAAGCAGAGGTTAATGGGATGATGAATCAACTCACTCTGAAGAACAGGCGCGGCACGCATCAGAGAATAATTACTACAAATTGAAACAAGCGCGCCCTCTCAGCCTACTGAATTAGCACAGCTATGTATTTCTACTCCTACTACATAACAGCACTGTTCTAAACTCCACGCTCCAGGCTTTCTGATTATTTTTTTTTTATGTCAAAGGTCAATCCATGATATCCCTTCATGACGTCTTTCTTTTCTCAGCTCTTCCATTGGCACAGAGGACATTACACAACTCATCTTAAGAGTAAAATCCTTGTAATGCCCTTTTAAAAATTAAACACCTGAACAACTTTTTGGATTTAATAAAAAACTAAGCCTATCAAAGGGGTGGACCAGAAATATGTATTTATGGTATAAAGCAGTTACGGGTCTTCATCTGATTTAATTAAATGCTTTGATTTTTGATGACACCTAACTGTAGATGATAGACGTGACAGGATGACAACTTTTATGTCAAACCAGCGTGATCAAAGAGAGAGGAAACCTCTGCAGACACCTGAATTAAGATGCATGAAAGAAATGATCATTTCAAACTTGACAAGGTGCACAAAGAAATGAGCTGCACATGAAAAGTGGTGACAGAGTATGAGATTATGAATATCATCCTCATTATTTTTTAATTTGTTTCTATCTTTGGTGCTAAGTGCTCGTTCGAACTCCCAAGACATCATCACCTGTCCGTCAGGCAGTGTGCTCAGAAGTCTGGCAGCTTTTCCTAACAAGGAGAGCGCTTCTCTGGTTCTGCATCCCTGGCAGCTATCCAGCTAACTTTTATTTGTAAACTTGCCACATGTTGAGAACAACTAGTCCAGACAGAAAGCAAATGGCATGAAAAAAAGTAACAATACAAAGGAACAAACAAATATGAGGTCAGGATATATACTTGATATACATAATTATTATGAAGAATTTGTTTCATGGATAAATGAATACACCATTTTCCCCACCGTTTTTCTCCCAGTTCTTTTTGGAACCTTAAGAAGTGAGTCATCTGCTCTAAAAGGTGTAAATGTTTAACAATGTTGACACAGAGGTCAGCATCAGGGCACCCTTTCTTCAGCCAGCATTTAGTTATGGCTCTTTTACCTGCTGCTAACAGAACCTTTAAGAGATACATGTCATCTTTCCTGAGGCCATCTGGAATATGTCCAAAATAGAGAGATGAAAATGATCATTGCTGTTTCCTTCCAACATTGTTAACTTGTCCGCTACCAACTACAAACTTTTACGACGAGAATAAGGGCCATGTTGAAGAAAACAATTAATTAGGTCTTATTCCAAGTGAAATGTAATGTAACATTACAACTTTATATTTCTAACATTACGATTTTTATCCTTGTAATACTTTTTATCTGGTTTATTACTACTTTATATCTTGTATGTTTGAAAATACAGCAACTACTAAAGAACATACCAAGAACATACTACATATCACTCACAATGTGACTCAAAGTGAAGATATCATGGATTTCTACTTCAAAGCACGATTACTTCAAACGCTTCGGTCACTTGTGCTTTCCATTTTGCTTTGACTTTAAATTTTTCATTTCTTTGCACTTACTTCACTCTCCAATCATGCGATCCTTTTATTCTTTTTTTTTTCTTAACTAAAATTCATAAAGTTCTTTTTAGGAGACGTGATGACCTAATTGCCGGGTGTGTGGCTGCCTCGTTCTCCTCCGTGATGGTGTTTTGAGCTACTCTTTGAGCCAGCACACCCAAAGTAGTCATTAGTGTCTTTCTCAATAAATCAGCATTAAATGTCTTTATTCAGAATTTCATGCTGTTCTCATGGGGAAGAAAGGCTGACCCTCAGTTTTGATGTTTTATCTGCTGCAGCTCTCTCACTCCTTCCCCCTCTCTGCTCTGCCAGAATCCTCCTGCATCCCTTTGTGTAAATCCTTTTTCCCAAACACGTTCCCCACGTCTCCGTGTTTTTCTCTTTTCCATCTGTTGGGCTGAGAGACTTCATATCCCTGTCGAGCTCGCTACATCCCTTTTAAATCGGATTGTGTGCCTCCGAATCAGGGATGGACAGGGCTAATTTCATGCGAGTTACAGATGAATTAATGATGAACAGCGAAAAGGGGATTTAAAAAGGAGAAGGGCTCTCGATGGGAGGGCTGTGTGAGGATTATGTATTCTTGCTGCAGGGCTCGATCAGCACCTGTTCCACTGCACTGCCTCCCTGTGTGTACATATGCGTGTGTGTGTTTGTATATGTATTCCTGACTGCACGAGTGCACCTCTGACGTCTCGGCGTGTGTCTCTTAAATGTCACTTCTGCTTCTCCTCTTCTCCGCTGCGCGCTTTGCATTTTAAAGAACAGTCTTGACTTTATGAGTGCTCATTTCTGCCCTGCCATGTGTGTTCTTTCAGAAACCATTTCTTTAAGCCAAGTTCAGACCAAATTGAACTGGAGGTAGATAACTGGCTGAATTTGGTCATTTTCAATTCAGGGGAGCAACTTTAGAGTTCGTCAGATAGCCTTTCATTTCTCAACTCAACACCTGAATAGGCCTGGGCAATCTTTTTTTCCCTGCCACAGACTTTTGCTTATCCTCTGCAATGCCAATGAGTTCATTGCTCATTTTTGGCAGCCTTCTACTAGTGGTTCGAATGAAAGAGTACGACGGAATTACAAGTATTCCCTCAGCTTGATGTATGGCATTTGTAGACACATGCTCAAGTTTGAATGACAGTTTTCATCTCTTTTGTACATGCGGGCACCTACCCAGCCAGAGGGCTCCGTCTGTGTCCAGCTGTGTTGCTGCCAAAGGCGAGGACCCTGTTATTGCTGCCTCGTTGCCGACCTGCAGAGATCCGTCTCTAAGTGCTCTGAGGAGGAGAAAGAAAACCAGACAGATGTAGTTGGAAGTTGGTCTGATGCACGTGCATCACACTGAATAGCAGCAAATTGCAGTTTCATTTAATCTGAAGCACGGAGACTCCATTCCTGCGCTGCCAGCACACTAAGCACTCACAAAACTGCCTTTGCCAAGCAGCATTTTAAATGTGCCTGTCTACCGGTTAACAGACGCCGGTGCAGCACCGCTCATTTAAGGTGGCTCTGCGTTATGCATTAGCACACACTTAAGAATTGTGACGATGGGGCTAATTTGAACCCACTGAAGTGGGAATCCAGCAGAGAGAGCGTCATTAAAGGCAAGCGGCAAACACAGATAGCTCCCTAACTATGCGAGCTCTGTGCCACATGCCGAGATTTACACCATCATCAACATCCAAATTATGTCATCTTCCAGCAACTCATGTGGTCTCCCTGTAAGCCTGCCTGGGATGGGATTTGGCCAAATCCCTCTTTGAAATGGATGCAGCAGCTTTTCAAGGATTGATTATTCCTGCCTTCAATGATGAAACCAATCTAATTATCTCCAACACGTTCATTCTCAGCAACGTTGAAAGCAAAAGTTAAGCAGCGATAAGGCAGAGATCACACAGAAAGGTATTAAGTGGGTCATTTTCAAAGATGAGGCTGCTCAGTTGCTTCTAATGAAGGAATCCATTAGTGTGACATCTCTGTGTTTTAAAAAGTATTGCATGCTTGCGTGCTAAACCTTTGATAGTATGTCTACTTGATGGGTTTATATTTACACTGTGGACAAGGAGGAAACCATTAAATTTGGAAACATCAGATGTTTTTTCACTCTGTAAGATTCCCAAAAAATTGTTGGAGCTGATACTGTGCACATATACTGCATAGTCCTAAATTAACCTGTGATTAATACAATTACCACATAACAATCTTGGGGACAGCAAAGGAATACTGCATTATGCACTTTAATATTTTAAAGTGCATAACATTTTATTTTTCCTTTGTCCTGTTTAAAAAGTCACGGTCATTTGAAAGAACTTAATACATTTGCGTCTTACCAATTTAAGTATTTCTTCTAACTTTATTTTTAATATGAGCAGAATGTTTTTTGAATAAGAGTAAAAACAGACTCCATATAAACCCTGCACACAGTCATCGGCAGCCGTCGGTAATATTTGGTTGCAGAAGCTTTGGCAACAATGGCAGCCTCTAAGTGTTTCTCTGAGTGTTGCCATCCAGAGGCGTCTTCCAACTTTCTGCTGGTAGTTTCTGTCATTCCTCCATTAGTGTGCATTCAAGCTATTTCAAGTTTGCAGGAGTCCTTTTCACAACAGAAGGTTTCACCTCTCTGAAGGGTTTCAATAGGATTTAGGTCAGGACTCATTGCTGGCCACTTTTAAACTGTCCATGTTTCTCCTGAACATTTGACCTTCAACTCAAAAATAAAAAAAAACGTTGCACTAAAATGCCTTGGTAATCTACTGATTTCATGGTTCCAGGCTGCACAGCATTGTAGAACCTCCACCATGTTTTACTGTATGTAGTATGTTGTGTTTCTCCTGGGTTTCATTTCATCACCTATAAACAAACAATATTCCCAGGGAGCTCTACTGTGGTTCCATGTGTCCATCACACATTATCTAAGAAAGACTCTGGCTTCTCTCTCAGCTTGAAGCTTTTGAAATGTCTATTGTGGTGTTGCTGTCCCCCATAATTCCCTCCAACCTTCTTCCAGACCTCTCTTATCGAGTTTCTTCTTGGCGGCACATTACAAACTTGTAAAACAGAGATTGTTGACGGAGTTGTATTATCTTCAGTGCTCTCTTCTGTGAAACAACAAGCCCCTTTTTATCAGGCAATGGTGAGTCTTATTAATTGTTTTGTATTTTGATTGAGGAAACAAATTAAATGAATCAAACAGGTGCAAATGTCCAGGATACATTTAGTCACTTTTTTTCTTTTTGTTCAGTGCTAAATATGTGTCTACATAACTATAATTTAAAAGAAAATCATACAAAATGTGCATTTGCATTTATGACCATTACAGATATTTTGAATTATATATTTGTTATTCAGGGCTAATTCAGGACTGCATGTGTTAATGCAGATACTGCTATTAATTTTTAATTATTTTTTCCATTCATATCCTATAATATAACAAATATGTTGGGATGCTGCCACATGTTTTTCCTTTTTGAACATTCATTAATGTGCCTAAGCAATTTGATGCGCAATATGTTACACTCATGCATGACCAGGCATGAAAATAACCTTAATCTGAAACTAATCAGAGTCATCTCACTGCAAGGGATCATCACTGTGTAGCAGAGGATTTATGCAAGAGATCACACAGTTTGCATCAACACACATAATACAGTATGGATGAAGACTTATCCTGGCCTAACTTTAAAAGCTTTCAATTATGATTCAATACTATCTGCAATATCCCATCTTACCTGCTGGCCTTGATACGTATCCAGCGGTTGGTGTCGACACGCACAGAGGAGCGCAGCACCACGGGTTTGGAGCCCAAGTCGTATGTCATCTGGACGTGTCCATCCACGATGGCCAGGGCGATGTAGTCTGACCGCTCCACGCCCTTGCCGCTCCACAGCACCAGGCCCTGGGTCGCCTCCGTCCGGATGCTCAGCTCAAATTTGTTCACCAGCAGAGCCTTCTCACTGGAGAGAGCAGAAAACACATTAGTTAGCTTGTGGTCTCGAATTCATCAGAAGCAATTCCAATATTTGTCGACGCTGACACAGCTCAGTCGCTGCTTGTGTCATTTGTCGTTGCAAATGTGGAGCGAGGGACTTCTGCTGCTGTCTCGTGGGTTACATTACAAATGACTCAAGCATTACATATGGTCCTGTTTGCTCGCACATTTAGCCAAGAAAGCTTTGTGGCTTGAGCTCGGAAGCCTCATAATAACAGAGCTGCAGTGATTTTTCAGGAGAATCAGGAGGCAGACCGAGTTTAGGAGAGGCAGGGGGCTGTTTTGGTGTTAGCTTTCCTACATCCTATTGAGCCGGAGCTGCAGTGCTGCTCAGTGCTCCTAGTGCTGCTTTATGAGTGTTTCTGTGAGTGTGTGAGTCTGTGCCATCTATCCAGAGGCACTGTATGTCACTGATGTGCGAGATGAATACATGCCGTGATGTGGCCTGACTCTACACCATCGCACATCCATCCCTGCATACAAACAAACTTACGTCACACTAAAAAGTCCCTCTGTTCTCTGAGTCCAGCAGAGATACAGCAGAGCTCAGAGAATCCCACCTTTAATTTGTGTGCGTTTGTGATTGTGTGTCATCAATCAGCATCTGTACAACTGTCTGCACATCTGCCAGATGGAGCTACCTCCACATTCTTCAAAGGGCATTAAAACACAAAGACATAAACAAGATGAGAACACAAACGTCAAAGTGTCAATGACACATGGATTAAAATAAAAAAATCAACAACAGCATGGAGCCGTAGATAAAGATTAGACTAGACAGACAACAAGACAAGTGTAGCAAACAGAGAGGCTCATGGGAGTACATACAGGACAGGAAATGGGAGGGGATAAGGGGAAATTGAGTCTGGGACCTTCTTCTTAAACAATCATTTTCTGTTTGTATTTATATTCAATAGTAAGTGGGAATAAAAAAGAAGCAATGGGATGATATTTAACCTTTGACAGCTCAGACCAACAATAATCCTGGTTCACCTCAGCAGATAGAAAGAATCCAGAATCAAATTTGATTTTCGACTCTAAAAAACATGTTTCGACTTCCTTGATATCAACTGAATCCGCAAAGGTAAACGAGAACCAATAAACGTACAAAGGCATGACTTAATAGCGTCACATTTGTTTTTTCTCCAGTGAGAAAAAAACCCCACAAATACAGATCGGTGAACCCTCTCCTGGCAAACCCTCAAAGAGCTTCCAAGGCACAATGAATCTCTATGAGAGCAACGTGTCAGTGATAAGGTCAAGGTTATTGAAAACACTGAATATATCATGAGTAAAACAGCACAGCGTTGTAAATCTTATATACACCACTGGCTTCTTAGATTGCCAGTGTGTTGCTGTTTCTCTTTGTAAACAGATGGATTTTATCTACATACATGTATTCAAATTCTCAGCAGGCCTCCAGGTAGCAGTGCTCATTTTAACCTCTAGGTGTCAGTAGTGGTTAGAATAATAATAATTAAAAGCCATTAGGGAGGACAGCTATTGCACAGAGGCTGCAGAGTGGTTTTGATCTGTTATCAGACCTCAGAACTTCTGAATTAATTGAAGCATATGCAGCAGCGGCTCTTTGTGATTGGTATTAGTAACTCTATCTCAATAATGAAAACAATGTTGTCTCTGCTGAGGAGGATTTAGCCCTGCAGAGGTCGGAGAGGGGTTGCCTGGAGAGGAGGGGAGGATGGGGAGGCGAGAGGCGAGCGGACGGCACCAACGTTCTGAAAGCTTTGAGAGACTCACCTCTGCTCAGATGGGTTCTCCAGGGACTCGGGACTTAAGGGAGCAGGGGGAGAGAGTCAACGGCATGCAGTGTAAGCGCAAGAGGCCAGAGGGAAAGAAGGAAGGAGGGGAGGAGGATTTTGTGAGTTCACTGGGTGACTCACAAAGGTCTTTAGATGTGGAGCTGCAAAAAAGCTTAATTTATCTGTTGTACTGCAATATCTACTGTCAACAGTCGATAACAACTTTTTGTGTGATCATAAGAAGTGTGTAGCTTAGCCTTGATCACACCACGACCATAAAAGGAGGTTCCCGAGGGAACCGCTTGGATCATGATGGATGATTTAATGCACCAAAATGCCTTAATGAAACAAAAGCATTTCTTTTCAAAGTAAGCATCAAGATTTACTTCGCATTCATGGTTAGCATCAACTGTAAGTCAGCGTCCAATTATTGAAGACCTCCTGTGTATTTATTAATGGTGCTGCACACCAAAGTGCATCAGCAATTACCTTCTGTCTCGAGATGAAAATGGTGAATGAGAAAAATTGGGAAATTGTCAAAAAATGGGGTCAAGTACCATATCAGTGGAGAGTCATGGCCAGATATGATTTGTCACAGAAATAATGGCGCTCGAACAAATCGACCTGAGCTTTCAGAGAGAGGTGAAGGAGGAGTGAACCAAAGGGAGCTCTAAATAATGACAGAAACATTAACCCAAGGTTAGAGTTGACATTTTGGCCTCAACAGAAACGTATTAATTTCCTTTACAAACTCAAATCATAGCAAATTCATCTGTGCCCATGTTCTGCTTTGCTTAGATTCACACTCATTTTTGGTAAATGTTACATCCATTTAACTTTTGACAGTCTGGCCCCAAGGACCACTGTCCCCTCCTGCTAAGTGAGATTGATGCCCATGGCTGCACACTGCAGAGATGTCTCAATTGGAGGTCTAATCTACAAAGGGAGACAAATCTGTGATTAACATGTCACTGCCTCCCTGTGTGACCCACTCTGCAATTACTCACAATTACAGTTAGAGATCTGGCAAAAGGGAAATGACAGAAGCCCTGGTATGGACTGGAGCTCATTTTTAAAAAACATTTTTAGGTTACTTACTAAGCTAATGAGCAGGAAGAAATACCCTTAATAACTAAGTTAAGACCTCCGGAAGGACCTCCTCAGGCACCAGAAACTAGGTTGAGGGGTATTTAGTATATCCCCCATATGCAGTTTTCAAGGGGTCTCATTCATTTCCATATAACAGATTATGCCATTCAGTGTAAAGTGCATGGCAATTCATTTTGTTTATGAACGACTTACAGCCATGCATAAAATATTTCACATTCTTAGCACAGCAATTCATTTTCCTCTGGGGGGTGAGCACAATGCAGATCATGCACTCATTCATGCTTCCCTTTGCACTGAGGAGAAAAAAGAAAGGATCTAATGGCACTGAAAATAATGAAATCTGTCAAATTAAATTATGGTCATGGAGCTTGAATGTAGAATCTGACTTTAATGGTAAAGATGATTTTTTTTTCCGTGAAGAAATTATGACAGGAAACTGAATGTACTTAAATCTCTTGAATTGGGTTAACTATCAAACATGGCTTCTTGTTGCGGTTAGTTGGGCTTGATTTGAAGATGGGCAAATGCCCTCTCGAAAAGTCTACTTACTCTGGGATCTCATTGGTCAGTTGGCTTGAGTGAGAAGGAAAGACAGCGAAGGACATTTACATGAGACAAGACGTGTAGACAAACGACAAGAGAGGTTCAGACTTAAGGGACAGGACAGGAAACAGGAAACGCTGATCAGAACACAAAGACACACAGGAAGACACACACATGTATGCGACAGTTTTCCAGCAAGTTGTTTCTGAGTGAGTGTGAGTTGTGCGTCCGTAGCTGCTGTCAGACATGCATTGAAATGTGGAGAACCTTAGGATGTTCTCTGGAGGTGGCTATGTGTGTGAATGTAAATGTCAGAGTGAGAGGCTCCTCAGAACTTTCAGTAGATCTTAAAAACGCCGCCCGGCAGGAAAAAGTCTGCAGAAAGTTCAGAGGAGCCTTCATGAGAAAACAGCAGGAGATCATCCGCAGGATTCACAGTGACCGAGGATATTTGTTGATGACGTTTCTAACGTGCGACAGACGCAAAACTGAAGGAAAAAGAAAGAAAACAAATATCTCTATGAAAAAGTGGTCGCTTTTTAACGTAGAAGACACCGACAAAGATGTCAAGAGAGTTTCAGGTGATAAGAACGTGCCTCTGCCTGCTGCCAAACCTTTCACCTGAACACTGCAAAGATGTCTGTGTTACTAAAAATTAATTCTTGTGTGAGCGGAGTCCATGTGTGAAAATGGCTCATGCGAGTGTGATAATGATGTGCAGTTTTCACACTTTCTGTGTGTGCTTGAAGAGCTGTGTGACTCAGATACAGAGCCATATGCTTGGTCTCTTTTTCAGGTTTATCACGTTAAACATTTGTTGTCGACGCCAACCTGAAGGTGCACTCTTCGCAACCTCATGGATGGATGGAAGGGTAAAAATGTCTCATCAGTTTCCTAAAGGGACAAGATTTTTCTTTTTTCTAGTAGAAAATAGAGAAAACATTTTTACACTGACTTCCTCCGCTTAACCCTGGTACGCCAGTTTTGTGGAAAAACAGTGATTAACACATTGAAAGTAGGGAAACAAAGTTGAATCATGCACGTGCCCTCATTGTCCAGTGTGAGCTAAGCAGTAGACCACAGAGTGAACTGAGCGTGCCCAGGGCAACACTGTGAGAGTTAACCGTCTTGCTAATTAGTGAAATCCTGTCAAAAGAGCAGTACTGACACAGACACGAGGGACGAGCTATTAGCCAAGCACCTAGTTCACCCTGAAGACCTTGCACTGATGATATCATCAACACTGTCATCACAGCTTACCCAGGGAGGGGACGGATAGACAGAGGGGTTATTTGGCTAACAGCTATTACAGTGGAGATGTTAGATGAAGCCGAATAGATGAGGATGTTCCCCTTGTCCTCTTTCTTACCTCTTCGTAACAGCGTTGTGGTACTCGATGAACGTCCGCCCGTCAAAGGCCACAGCCTCGGTCTCTCCGGCAGACTTCTCGTAGATGGCTGTGAAGACAGGGGCGGGGTGAGAGGAAAAGAGGATGAGATCATCGCAATCGATAAGACAGAGGGCTCGGTTATCATAGCTAAGGGCAATGGAGTGTGAGCACAAAGGGGCTAGGGGGAGTTAGGGCAGTTTTTCAGTTTTAATTAACGTGAAAGGGACGGCTGGCCACACGCACAAGGTTAATGGTGAAGGCAGGGACAGTAAGACGGATCAGGCCGGAGTGAGCATGTGTCGGGCAGAGTGACACGAAGATGATGAAAGGGACGTGCAACTCTTGAAAAGAGCATTTCATGAATATTCAAGGGCCACGTTTCATCATTTTCATAAGTACAGCCTTCATCTGAAACCACTACATAATAACCCCCAACATAAAAGAGACTGAACATGAGTAATGTCAACATTTTCACCTCTCCTAGACCAAAAAATGTAATAATAAACAATAAAAGAAGGCATTGTAGGCAGATATAGAACTCCAACTAGTAGCTCACGATCCACTGATGCAAGCCAAGAACAGACTGTATTAGAAAAAGCACCAGTGATTTCAATCCCACTCATGCTACGCTTTAAAAGCAGCCAGAAAGCTGCCAGGTATCTGTTTGGAGTAAAACCAAAAAATGTGGAATGAGGAAATAGTGTACACAGTTAAGATGACTGATTTCAAATTCACAGCCAAAAGAAGGTGATCTCAGGCCAGCAAGTATTGACCAATCATAAATGTCCGGGCTGAGAAATGGGTTTAAGCTTCAGGATCTTAGCCAGCTCCTTGACTTCTAGTAGAGTGAAGACAAATGTGTAAGGACAGACAGCTGAGACAGTAGTAATACTTACTGTTCTGACAGTGTCCCCCTGAGAAACCGCTGAGACAAACGCACTCATACGTATCCAGCTGGGGGGTGCAGTGCCCGCCATTGTGGCAGGGATCCTGAGAACACGGGTGATGCTGGAACATCGCTATGTTGCTGGAGCGAAGAGCGTTCTCCTCTCGGAGGATGGGTGTGCCCATCAGAATGATCTGGGAGCAGAAGACACAGGGGTTAAAGAGGCCACACACTGAAGGTCAGCTCACTCATTTCTGCTTATTACTATGCAGCCTGTGTAAACAGCTGTAAAATGTCACCTGAGGCTCTGAGGGAGTTTGATCACGCCTAAGAGAAGAATCTCTGTGATGTCATAAGGTGTAATTTCAGCTTGGGCTTGGAGAGCGCACATGTACACAACAGAAAACCTGCTATTGAAAACTAGATTTTTACCAGGAGGTGAGGATTTGATTAGTTTTAATAGCGGCGTGGCATCCCCACAGCCTTCACTGCATTTAAATTCAAATGTTGTCAACTGAGCCTTGCACACCTCAAACTAAAGCAAGGAAAAAAAAAAAGACATCTGTCATGTGAAACTATTTTAACTTAGGCAGAAAAATGTGTGTTTAAGCAGGTGTAAGAAGAAAATAATCAAATATTTCCATGACCTTGAATTCATACAATATGTTTGATGTATAATAAATACATACTCCAGTAAGGTTTTAAAATACAGAATAGATTTTTACACAATAATTTTAGATGTCCAACAAATGCGGCTAAACATGTGTTTATGTAACACATGAATTATTCATTTTTTGTTACTTTTCTTTAAATTCTCTTTTTTTCATCACTTTCTTAGTTATTGTTATTGATCTGATTTTATTTTTCTCTTTAACAACACTTGTTTCCACTCCGGGCTGTTCAGCGTTATGCAGCCTTATGTTTTGAGTGATCATTACAGTGATACCTTGGATTCAACACAACATGCTTTTCCTATGAACATGAATGCCATGCTGTCAACATAGGAGAAAAAACCTCAGAACTTAGGCGTTGAAAGGAGACACATGTTAAACAGTACATCAGACCGAGAACACATACTGTCCTCCTCATAATTAATTATTCCCTGCAGGCCAAGAAAAACAAACTCCACATTTAGTTTTTTGATTTACTCGAAACTGTCGAGGGAAAGTTTGCAGAAGAGAAATAATGACAAGTTTTGAGTAAATAGAAACATCCTGCCTTTGTTCTACCGAGTTATTTTTGGCATTCTGAGATGAGGTTTTTGCTGGAAAGTGGAGAGAAAAAAAAGTGGAGGGCTGTCAGAGAAAGATCTGAGAACGGCGAAATGTAGGGACTTCAAAATGTGCATTCTATTATTAGTGCATGCTAATCCAAATGAGCAGAGCCACTGCCCGTCACTGTGCGAGCTTATAATGGAAAATAACTAATGTGGGGGTCTGTTGTGTGACAGCTGGACAGCTAATAAGTTATCGTTTGACTCTGCTACTGTATGTCTGAGGGACACAGGGGCCCAGAGTCATTAAAATAACACAGTGTATTTACACCAGCGGAATACATAAGCAGAAGACAGTGCTCCAACAAGAAACAGAGGCTTGTAAACATTTACCTTTTGGATTGTTCCCTTGAAACCCTCCGTGAGAGCGGCGACTCTTGCCAGTCGGCTGTAATCAGGAGCTCCACCGACGAAAAGCGTCTCTTTCAGGTTGAGATCTACATGTAGATTCTGATGAGACAGGACGCAAAGGGTTTTTTAACTAGAGCTCCATATACTGTGCAGTTTTACCTTTTCCATACTGAACCTGCACTTTTATTCAGCACTTTTCTTTTCAGCACCTCCTGGTTTATGGTTTTAGATATCTGTTTGTGTCCAGAGAGCCTGAAATAAGTTGTATGCTTGTAGTTGAGGTAATAAAGTGAGATTAATATGCTACATTTGCAGACATGTCACAATCATATGGATTGCTGTAATAAAAAAGATGTATTCATATTGTAGCTGGCAGACGCTTTAACTGCACTTCCTTGCCTTCATTCTGTGTCAATACACTTGATACATTAAAACATAATTGATTCAATGTCTCTCAGACAGAGTGGTCAATTTTCCTCTATCTGCGAAACATAAAAAATAGTCTACAAAGGGAAATCAGCAGCCGGCCGGACTAGAGATATGGAGGCTATTTTACAGACATTTCTAATGAATGGTGGATTATAAGCAGCGACCTTTCAAACAGTTGAGCGTGGAGACACATTAATTGCAATTCATTTGCGCGACAGACGGCTATGAAATTCGATTCCTTCCACCGAACCTTTGGGACGATTGCTTTGCATCAGCAAGGTGCAGCTTCCTTCTTTTTGCACAGAGGAGCCGAGGCAAGGAAGGAATTAATGATCTTTATTTTATGTAGGGCAGTAATTGCCAGAGGGGTAAAGTGGAGTTAATTGCTGGAAAAATGATGGAAGGGGCCAAATAAACAGGCTTTGTGCGGGCAAGCTGGCAGCGGCTGGGCTTTTATTTAGGATGGGATATGGAGTGCAGGAGGCAGCGGTGCTTGGCTGCAGCCGGGGGCTGTGTCACTGCACCTTGAACCGCTTCCAACTGACACGGGATGGGGACCTTGGCCAAAGCTGCTGGACCCAGCTGTGGCTGTTGCCCCTGGGCTTACCCCTAAAGTTGAGGCTGACTGCAGCATGGAGTTGTCCATCTCAGTCTCTGTTACTGCCCTGCAGCTACATCCTCACTGCTACATTTTTATTTGAAAGTGCATCAACTCTGATAGGGATACGTCTGGCAATCACACTACTCCTGAGCTTTAGAGATGCTAAAATGGGAAGTTTGGAAACGCTGCTGGACCCATTTTAGTTTTAAAACACCGGGGCTGCATTTCAGTCTGGACAGGCAGAAAATAAGATGTTTGGAAACTGTGGCGTAGACACTCATAACCGCTTGCTGATTCGGTCAAGACGTAGCCTTTGCTGATTCATCAGGCTCCTATCACATGATCCCCCTTCCGGAATGAAATCACTGTTATAAGCCTCGGCTACCAGTGTAGAACTCAACATGGAGTTTCAATTAAAAGTGTTACTGACCCTGTTGTCTTTGCTAACAGCATTTCTGATGCTTCAACAGCTCACACACTCAGAAAACAAGCTCGTATTTGAGCAATCTGCAACAATTCCCATGTCCACTGATACGCACATGCCCAGTGTACGTGTTTGTTCCGGGCATTTTAGTATTGACAGGGATTAAAACTGAAACAGAGCCAAAAAATGCTTGAGTGGACAGAGACTTTCAGCTTGAAAATGCACTTTTCAAAGTAGCAGTATGGATGTAGCCTGCAACACGTGTTCTGCAGTTAAAATGACATGTGCATACTCGCTGATGATGGTTTTTGATCTTGTTTGAGATGTGACACCTTTAGCATGCGATGACACTTTCTGCCAAAGCATATTCACTCCTCTATGACTGTAACGTAAGATTTCATGCGATGGGGAGGTTGCATGGTGTTCTGACTCAGCTCACACAGGTGATAATCAGCATGTGGTGAAAGAAGACAGCTGGCTCCATGAGTGTGATTCTGAGCTAGGTGACGTTCGGCGAGTGTTGTTTGCGTTATGGGCGAGTGAGTGGGTGAAGGAATGAGCGACTTCTTGAGTCGTTCCTGATTGCGAAAGAAGTGAGAGCAGATGACAAAAGAACAGCCCAGCTTGGCTTGGCACCTCACCGTCTCCTACAGTGTAACACCTCCCCCCCTCGCTTGCGTCTCGTCTTCGCTCTCAATTTTGGACGGCCACGCAGCACTGGCGTGATATCTCCGCCTACACCAGACTAATGAAGACGTTCTTTTGTTGCTAAAAACAATGGCCGTCACAAAGATGACTGCCTTCTTCCCTCCCACCTTCCCGCCCCCTTCCACCCCCACAGCAGATGGACCGAGGTGAAAGCCAAACCGTGTTCTTTAAGAGCATCTCCACTTCAGTGCTCTGTGAGTGTGTATGAAATGGGAAAGTTTTCCTACAGAACTGGCACATTTAAAGCTGCCCGTCACTCTGCAGAAGTACTTATTTCTTTTTCTGCTCTGTGCTGTTGTGTATGGAGAGATGAGGGTGAGAGGACATGGTGAGCGACTCAAATGAAACATGGGCTAAGGTGTGACTGGGACTTGTCTCATTACCTTGCGTGATTTCTTATTTTCCAGACAGCACATGAGAAGGACAAAAAATAGGGAGGAAGATAGTTAATAGGGGAAGACTAGTAAGTGTCTGTGCAGAGAAAGGCAAGCTGAGCTACAGTAGGCAAGTGCAAAACACACACGCGCACACATACCCTCAAGTGCACGTACAGTACACACACACACACACACACACACACACACACCGGTCACATCTGTGGAAGCATTAAACACAGTTGCAGTGTAGTTGCACAGACAAGTGAGGTAAGTACACATAATTAGAACACAACAACCCACTTTCTTCTGCACATGCACCTTTGTATAGTAACTGTTCACATGCACATACGACCACAGACCTGTGCGAGTGTGTGTTTACACTAAAGAGAGCAAACGCAAATAAGACAGCAAGTCTAAGGAGGCCATGCATGAAGCAGATGGTGTCATTAAGAAAAGATGAAAAAGAAAAAAACAAACTTCATGGATGAGAGGCTGCGAATAAAGCCACTTAACCCGAGCTCATTTACCGACTGCTGCCATTCAGAGAGGTGAGGTAGACTTTCATACTTCTACCTGTACCTGTATGCATCTGACAGTTGTATTTCCCATCTTTGACACGACGACAATATCCCAGCATGCAATATGTATTCATACACATGCGTGTGCGTGTGTGTGTGACCACCTTTGAAATCCTATAGGCTTCTCTGAGCAATGCGCACAGTAACGTCCTCCCAGTTCTTAAAGCAGGACTGGGAGAGAGCCACACTTGATGGGGTTTCTGCATTAAGCTCCATAACTAGTCTAAGCTCATCACTTGTGCCCCCCCCCCATTCCCTCATCCTTGCTTTCGCCTTGCTCTTCTCTTTTAATAAGATTTTCTGCCTGTGTTGCTGGAGTAAAACACAATTACCATACAGACGATGGGAGGCAGTGGGGGAGGGACAGCGGCGATGGGAGAAAAAAAAGGAGAGCATTGCGTCTCACAGGACGATGACGGAGTTGACAGAGTGCATGTTCGTAATCACAAATTACACAGTTATATAATTGGATGACTTACAGGCTTATCAAACGATTAGATCGCCTTCATTTGGAAGCCTGTACCTGCTTTTATTTGTCTAGACGTGGAGCTGAAGAGTTTCATTACGCTATTCCTGCTGCTGCTGCTGCTGCTATCGCCTTTATCTGCCTCTGCCTCATCCTCAACGCCACCTCAAAGGCTGCGTTTATAAAATGGACTTTACACCATTTCTGTGGCTTTCTGTATGCAACACCAACTTTTATCTCCAGTATGTCAGCAGCAGGATGAAAGGCTGAGGTGTTTCTTTCCTTTTTTTTTTTTCTCCTTAAAGTAGAATCATAGGGCCTCCAAAATTAAGACAGGTTGTCAAACTGGCCGTCTACATCTGGAGTTCTCCCTCTCACCCTGATGGATGCTGGGAGATACTGGTGTATTTTTCAGGTGTGAAAGCTCAAAAACAAAGGGGGCAGAAGGAGTCAAATGTGCTGCAAGCAGCAAGTCGAACCCCTTTAATGTGGAACAAGAGGAGCGCTGAAGCCAGAGGTTGTGGTGATGATGATCATTCGCAGGCAAGCTTGCTGTTTCTTACCGGTGCCTCCCCTCGGACTGGGTCCTTCTTGTTCACCATGATCTCTCCTTTGCGGTTGGAGCGCTCCAGGTTGATGGTGTTCCACACGTTCAGCTGGATTGGTTCTTTACTCCTAAACCACACACACACATAGACATTCATGTTTTATATCAAAGTTTAAGACTAGGGTGAAGTCTCTCTCCCTCCAAACTCAAAAAGTTGCTTGACAACGCAGTGCTGAGAGGCGGGGCTAAGACACGCCTTTGTCTAGCTATGAGTTACGACTCCAGTAGCAGTGCACAGTTTCTCCAGAAATGTTGTTTGAGGAACAGGGTTCTTGCCTTCAGAGTTTCCTGACAGCAAAGACCACGGTTGTCCCGAACCGTTTAAATCGCCGGCGCAGGCTGCTGTCTCAGCTAGCGATTCAAACGGTGTGTGTGTGTGTGTGTGTGTGTGTGTGTGTGTGTGTGTGAGAGAGAGAGTCAGCCAGGGAGCAGGAGAGGATGAGGGACGTCTCTTAACAGTAAGTGATGTGGTGGTTTAGGGGTTTAATTTCAGGATAAATTTGAAAATGAACGCAGCTTTTCAGATTCTTAGTCATGAGCTGTCGCTGATGGCGGGAGGCTACTCCAACTTTGATTAGAGGGTCTACCATTTTCCATATATATATATAAATGTTGTGACGTACAGACGGCTCAAACGGCTGACTCTACGGGAGCATTGGCCCTAAAAGGACAGTTTGAAACACTGGGAGGTGTAATGCGCCATGTTCAACCCATAAATGTAGATTTATTAATAAACTTGGAACTTAATGTGATATTAAAACCCGCATTGATGTCATATTTTTGCTTTTTACCTCAAAAACACATTGAAGTACACAGAATCACTTTCATTTTCCCTAGTTGTCTAAGTGCAACGCTCTTTCACATTCTAACCTGATGGTAGCAGGTCCTTTGCCCAGGTCATAGCGGAACTCCAGGATCCCGTTGTTGAGGGACAGAGAGATGAAGTCTCCTTTTCCGTCCGACTTTTGGCCGTTGTAGAAGATCACACCGTTGGAGTCGTTGGCCATGAGAACCACTGTCATGCTGACCTTTTGGCTACAGCCACAGAAAAAGACAAGACAGTACACACATGTAAGAGTCAAACATATACCTTAACCTAAGCGTTTGCTTTGTGCATGAAAATTGTGCAGAGACATGTATAAATATATATACATATATATATATATTCTACATGCTAAGGCCAAGATAAGGTGTTATTTGTGTAACCCTCATAGTCAATTCAGCTCAGGCTAAAAGAAGAATCACTGCCCTGGGTGCAGAACAGGCTTTATGAAAACCTACACAATATCCAGTGTTCAGTAACACAAACTGCACAGGACTTTGCTGTGTGGATTTCACGCAGGGACATTGGACTTACCGCAGATCGTGCCCGTAGAGATGGAGCCCCTTTAGCTCCAGGTATGAGTCTCCGTTGAATTGCGGCATGTAAGCCCCTCTCCTCTCAGCCACTGAAAAAACAAAGAGACTACATTCATCCTCAGGTCGTGCCTTTGGTGCTGACAGAATCAAAATTGAGGGATAGTCGGAGCATCTTAGAGGGACCTGTCAGCATTATGGAAAGAGATGGATTTATGTTTTCATAGCCTTTGGGATTAAGACTTTTTCTTGACAGATATTCAAAGAAAAAAAAAAATCAAAAACCCTTATGCCAGACTGATTACACAGCCCGCCACAGTATGACAAAGAATCTTCTGAGATATTTGGTGAGTTAAACACCACAGTCGGGACCCATGAAATAATGTAGCCATTGTATTCTGGCAGGCCTTTATACAAATTCATGTCTTTGTAACTGGGTCTATGTCTGGCTGTCCTGTCTCTGGCTGTCTGGAGTGATTAGAACAGGCTCGGTGCCATCCTTCTAACAAGTGGCCTGACATTAAAATCATCCAAGTGTCACCCCGGGGGTATGTGTTCATGGTGTTGGTTGAAAAAACTACCATTATTCAGAGGCGTCTGTGATACTAGCGGCTAACGCACACACATAAAGACACAAACAAACACACACACCTATGTAGCCGGCAAGGAAGCTTTTATTTGTAATTGGCTGGGATTAGCAGAGCCGAGTCGAGGATGGAAGAGGCAGCCGGAGATGAGAAAGCTAATTAGCTATTTTGCAGAAGACTGCTAATGATGATGGCGCGCAACATGGAGGAGAAGAATGGTACTAATCTATTAGAGTAACAGAGCTGCTCAGAAAATAGTTCCTCATAGGGGAGAGTGAAGGGTGGGGGGTGTCTCTCTTTCACCTTGTGCTGAAAGTGAAAGCTCTGTGATCAATATGTCACCAGAGGTCCACACATTGGAAAGAGTGATTGACCAAGAAAACCCACATGACGTGTGAGGGAGTCGATACTGGAAAAAAGTTGAACGCTGTTGCATCTGTGGCTGAGTACGACGGTTAGACTTTATCCAAAGCGACTCGCTGCTGAAGGACGACACTCGGCTGCTGTGCAGCAGGAGAGTGAGAATATAACACTGAGAGCTAAATCTGTCCAAAAAGTACAGGAGATCAAGAAGGAGAAGCAGCAAGACATGCACAGAGAGGAGTGTTAGAGTGTCCGAGGTGGTGGGAGAGGACGCGAGAGATTAGCTTGATGTCATTATTATTATAGATATACATGGTGCCATATAATAAGTGTTTTTTCTTTATATGATATATGTATAACTACAACTTTGTAGCTGTAATCAAAGCTGGGCTTCTTGGTTGATCTCGGAAACACACACACACACACACACACA